AGAGAGAGAGAGATTCTTTCCTCCATTGACAAATAGGTCTAGAAGTTCATAGTAAAGATGAGTTGGGAGAAGGCAAGTCAATTGTATAAGGACAATTGGGCAGGCGGTTCAACTAGAGAAGACCTCCAAGACCTTCAACCCTATGATTATATCAGAAACCTTGTTCCTGACATCTTTTTTCTACCTAGAGAAGTTCTTCTTTTGAGTACTTGAGGAGGCGACTATTTTGCTAAACCACATCCACTGGCAGTCCATTTAGGGGGCAGGGTTGGCTAGGCAACCACAAGTTCACATTTGCTGGTAGCTTAAATTCTGCAGCTGCTTTTATAGGCATTCCATCTCTCTTCATTTTTCTGTAGTGTATTTAGCAACTATCAGCCAGTCTTTTGCAGCTTCATATGAAATGGGACAGTGTGATACCATGAAATGAAGCTTGAGCAAATGATCTTGGGAAAATGTTTCTTTGAGTGGATTGGTGATACAGTGGAAATGGTTAATGGTTTTTTGGGGTTGTTTTTTTAAATGAAATGCAGCTCTTTTGAATACTCCTTCCTAGACATAGAAAATGAGTATGTTAGGAAAGGCTGATCTTTGGTGAGGTGAATCTTTAGTCAGAAGGACTGATGGTTTGGGGATTAGGGAAAAGAAAAAGGTTGAATTTTGAGTTGTTACTGTGCTCGAAAGCAGGTCAAGCTGGGGTCAGCGTTAACAACTCCTTTGCAGTTTGTGAGCAACCTTTTTCAAAGCACAGACAGATAAGTGCCACAACAAATTTGCTCGACCCAAGCTTTCTTTCTTCCCTGGCTGTGGAGCTGGGGAGAGGAGACCCTGAAGCTTCTTTTGTCTAAAGGGATCGATGATAATAATAGCATGACTCAGCTCTTCCGCCCCAAGAATTCCAAATGGGCATTACCTCATCAAATGCTCCCAGGCATCTAACTGAGGAACAGGAAATGGGTTGAATCATTCAATTCACAGAGCTCTTTTGTTGACAGTAGAAAGTGTTAATGGGAGTAGCGTTCAGTTGCCTTTTGTTCATCCCTCCTCTTTCCCTTTCTAATAAGATTCGATTGGGTTGGGCTTTTAAAAAAGCCTTACTCATAGTATGTAGATGATTGTGAATGTATGCGTTCCTTCTTACAAATAAAGTCATTAAAACACATTGGAATTGATGTGGCCAGTGCTCTTCTGGTATATCTAGGTATCCTTTGCTGGTTGTCACTGGCTTTTAAAGCAAGGAGTTACTGGAATGCCTACTTTAGCTCTTTGTTTCAGCTGGATTTTCCCTGCTTCTGCTGCCATACATGAAATACCATCATGTAACAGCAGCAGCCAACTAGCAGTAATACAGGGCAAATAAATGCTTAAATGGACAAATCATTGGGCAGTTAAATTTATTTCAGACAAAGGTGGCGTTCAACAGCGTGAGCCTGACCCCATTGCAGCCAGTGATTTGGCTATCTGGCCAGTGAGTTGAGATTGGGGCCCTGAAACAGAAATTTGCAATTTCTTTCCTTGGAACAGTTCATGTCCCATCTCCCACCACACTTACTTCTGTCTGTCATTGCTGTTACCCTCTGGTCAACCTCCAACCTTCTCAGCCACCAAGTACCCCATGTCAGATAATAACAACCAACCAAAAGTCAACTAGAAAAGTGATACGAACCTAACTAACCCCACATTGTTTCCCCACCATTCTCATAATGGAACAATTCCAACATAAATTGTTTTCTTGACTTTTCAGTGCTTGTTTCCTGGAAAGGGGATTGCACTGAATATGCTATGACTTACCTTTCAGTAAAAGTCTTTTGGCTTGTAAATTCAAGCTTTGTGTTGCCCGGTTTCCTTTGTGTTTTCCTTTGTCTTGTTTCAAAAAAGCATGCTTAGAATTGCAGACTAAGTACAATGTAATTCCCATGGTTTCGATGTGCCAACAGACTTAATTTACATTGTAAAATCTTAAAATAAGTCTGGTTCTTTGACAGAGTTATGTTTATCTGTATTTTAATAGTATATTATGTTTTCCATTTTTTTTTAACTGCCTGGCCCAAAATAGTAAGAAAGAGCAAAGTACAGAAAAGTACAGAAGAGCAAAATCTGTGCTCATCCTGTCCCTGTCAGACCTATAGGCATTGTACAGACCCTGGCCAGATTTCAAAGAACAGTGCAACTAGCAACAGCAATAGCACTTAGACTTATATACCACTTCATAGTGCTTTACAGCCCTCTCTAAGCAGTTTAGAGTCAGTATATTGCCCCCAACAACCTGGGTGCTCATTTCACCAGCCTCGGAAGGATGGAAGTCTGAATTAACTTGAGCTGCTGGCAGCCAGCAGTCAGCAGAAGTAGCCTGCAGTACTGCATTCTAACCACTGCACCACCACAACTAGCTCTGAAAGTCCACTGACGGTCAGGTTAGACCTGTTTACTTGGACCAGCTAGGGACCAGCTCATGGTAAGCCTCATGTGGAATGAGAAGAGCCTAAGAGAGAGGGAGAGGGAGAGAGGGGGGGGGCACCTGTCATTTCCTAATAGAAATGCTTAGGTGACAAAGGATATCCATGAAGCTGTCAACTAGCTTCAGACTTACTTTACAAAACAAAACAAAACATAGCAACATTCAGAGGAAGTAAGTAAAAAGAGAATTGAGGTGCAGTCCCTGTTTAGGAAAGGCTTTATCTTACATTGGGTTTTAAGAGCTTGATTAACATTGCATTTATAATTTCTAATTATTGTAATTAAGCAAATTGAATTTCCTATCAACCTTAAAGCAAATTCACACTAATATTGTAGTTTATGAAGTAAGTTTTATCTGTTCCTTTTTCTTCTACAAGAAAGTTATGACCCAACAGTGATTACCTTAGGAAAAGACATTGCATATGCATTGTACTGTGAACTAACTCTAACCTGTATTGGCTTTATGTATAAAGAGCAACTGAATAAAATTAATAGGAAAGAATCTTGGAAAATAGTGTTCATTCTTCTAGTAAGAACACATATGCTGCATAAAGTGGCACAAATTAAAGGAATATGTATTAAAAATAGTATTTTCAATATCTCCAAAGCAATGAAAGTAATTCAGCAAATGGAAATATTTGTGTCTATATTTGTTCTAAACATTCTTTAGTACTAAAGTATCATTTTCCTACAGAATTTGACCAGGTTCTGGGAACATTGCAGTTTTGCAGTACTAGCAATGAATCAGCAATGAGTGGAATGACAGTGATAATTGGAAGCTCATGACTTGTTTAGCCCAGCAGCAACAAACCCATAGAAATAGGTTTCCGTATTTCAACTTTAAAAAAAAAAAGAGGCACTTGGAGAAGTTACAAACGGTGCCATGTGAGTGAGCACTGACAGCTGCGTAGGCATCTATCTCTTCCCATGGAACATGTTATGCTTTCTCAGCTCTTTTTGTTGAGGTCATGCTGGGTATATGGGCATTTCTGATCAATCATCTTGTTCTGTGTTCTCTCCCTTAATTTAATCCCCATTACTGGAACTTGGCAGCATAACCAGTCTTATTTGGAAGAGGGCATTCATTCAGTCACTTTGAATGACTTTGGGGTTGGACGTATTCTTAATATAATTTGCTCTTGCGTTTGGACATTTTATGCCACTGACAGATATTCTTATCAGAATGGCTTGTGGCAGCAGGAACTTGCTATATACAGATTTAAGAAGCTTGGTGCCTCCATGTTTTGAGGTAACAGGAAATGTGCATTGCTAGTTATGTCAAGTTGATCACTGATGCCTATAGAAAAGAAAGTTGTAAGACGTCTGGCAATAACACTCTCCCTAAGTATCAGTAATGGTTAAAATTAGTTCATAATCAAGTTTAGTTTAGCAGTGGTATTCTTAATAATCTCCCAGGTTTAACATTATTTCATTCTTAAATATATGCCTGTATAGTTCAGTTCAGTTATTTATTTATTTATTTATTAAATGTATATGTCACTCATCTTGAGGTGGTATATTAAATGTAGTATCATGATTTACTACATGGTTATGTAGTATCATGATTTACTATACCTTGTAGTCCTGGAGAAAAAAAAGAAAAAAAGCCTCACGAAGTCTGTCCCCAGATTCTCCATCTACAACATTCATATTTAATGGGCCAATGAATGCTTTGCTGAATTAATTTGAGCTATGCCTTCCCTCTGTTCTGCACCTTGTACTACCATTACTTTCAGAAGACATGGAAATGTTTTTCAGAATTGTCTTCCCTTCCTTATGAATTGCTGGGGACACATTTTCAGTATCTGTATCATTTTTCTTTTCTTCCAGGTAGAATAAAATTTGCTGATTTTGTTTTTAAAAAGGTTTGAACAAGTTTGGCTATATATGTGTGTGTGTAGTGTGTGTGTGTATGTATATACAAATATATATATTGCAGTATTTTATGATCAACTATAAATATTCTTCCCATTTGTATCTTTCATATGTCACATTTAAAGCAGATGGCGTAGAAAGAGTTCCTTCAACAGCTTCATGATTATAATGTAGACCATTCAGTGTATATATGTGTATGTATGCGCACATGCCTTTGAGTTAGTGTTGACTCCTGGCAACTGCCTCAACAAGTCCCTGCAATTTTCTTGGCAAAATTTCAAAAGTGGTTTGTCATTGCCTGCTTTTTAGAGCCAAAAGAGAGTGACTGGGCCAAAGTTACCCAGGTTTTGTGCCTAAAGTGAGACTAAAACTCACAGTCTTCTGGTTCTCGACTACACCAAACTGACTGTAGGCCATGCAGATCAAGGACCAAATTAACATTGGGACAGAATTGACATTAGGTCAGGATGAGGACCCTTTATGCTATTTTCAATACTTTCAGAACCATGGAGCAATTCAATGGAGCAATTCAGCCATGTTTCTTCATTCATGGCTAATAAAATTAAAGTCATGACATGGTTGAAAAGGGTCAATACCAGCACGCCAAATCGAAATCCCTACTGTCAGAAGGTTCTTAATAATTTCTGGTTTATTATTTAAAATTTTAGATCTAAAAAACTCAAGAAGCCCACATCCTCACCTGCTCAAGAAGATAAAACCAAGTTAACGATTTTTCATGAAGAAGTGGATTTGGGAGAAGAACTATTCAGTACATTTGAAGATTTTTCATCCCCCAGCAACAAGAAGATATTGGCAGTCAAAGAAGGTATTAATGAATATTCACGTTTCTTGTTATATACTCCATAGCAGTGGTGGTGAACCTATGGCACGGGTGCCAGAGGTGGCACGCAGACCCCTCTCTGTGGGCACGTGCGCCGTTGCCCCAGTCCTAGGCCTTCAGCTGGGTTTTATAAAATCTTTTTGCTTTAGGCCTCTGCCGCCGTGTGCAAAAAAAAAAAAGGTTCAATCAATCAATCAATTTCAACTTCTCGCGAGAAAAAAAAATCTTTCAAAGTTGGAATTGATTGATTGAACTTTTTAGTCCCACCCAGTCTGCCTTTACCACTGCAGCCACGCCCACCCAGTGGGCACGCCCAGCCAATGGGCCATCACACCCACCTGGCACCCGACGATGCATAAGTGGTTTTGGGTTGCAGTTTGGGCACTCGGTCTCTAAAAGGTTCACCATCACTGCTCTATAGGATTAAAAAAAAGTGTCACAAACCATGGAATCTTTGGTTGTAAAACTCTGTCTTGGATTCTAGAGATAGTTACTTAATTCCTTAACTATTTTTTTTTAGCTAGGTTTATTTATTGCATTTCTATCATTTATTTTCTGTGACAGATCAAATCAGTGTCTTGGATCCTCCTCCCCCCTCTCCCAACATCTTATCCTCACATTCGTAACCAAAAATCTCATAGTGAACCTCCATGGCCAAAGGAGAGTTTGAACTCAGCAGTTTTTCAACGTGTTAACTATTACTATTATATAAGTCCTTCATGCATAATGTTTAAAAATGCTGAGATAATTTAAAGAAAGAAAAAAAGACTTGTATCCCATCTGTAAGATACACAGTATCTGCTTAACTTTTCAGCTTATTATGTAAAACTGGAATGGGCCATTGGTTATGCTTGGTTAGGCTAATTCTCTTAACCCTAACGAATTCTCTTGGTTAGAGAATTGTAATGCAATAATATTTCAAAGCTTCTTCCAAGCCTGGTATAAACTATGCTTCATTTAGTATACCTAGTGAATAAAATAATTCTACGTTTAAAAAGGAATAAAGATCACTTTTTTCTGTTTCCTATGCAGAAGTGAATTGGTATAATAAAATATTTTCTCTCAAAATAGTTTGGCAGTGGAAGTCAATGATACAACTTAGTATAATTCAGGATTCATGGCAATGTGACATAGGTCAATTGAATCTGATATTCCCCACTTTGCAAATCTCTTTAGTCTTCTATGTGGGCGGGGCCTACTTGAAACTGGATCATGTGAAATTAGTTCTATGGTTTTTGCCCACCCAACTCAACTCAGCCATGGTAGTGCAGTGGTTAGAATGCAGTTTTGCAGGCTAATTCTGCTGACTGCCAGCAGTTCGATTCTCACCAGCTCAAGGTGGACTCAGCCTCCATCCTTCTGAGGTCAGTAAAATGAGGACCCAGACTGTTGGGGGCAATATGCTGACTGTGTAGAACCACTTAGAGAGGGTTGTAAAACACTGTGAAGCGGTGTATAAGTCTAAGTGCCATTGCTATTTAGGCTATAGTTGCTGTTTATCACTGTATTTTAGCCTGATTCTGTCTGTCTTTTGTTTAAATGTTAGATGTGAAATTATTTGAAGGACCAGATCTTGGTGGAATGGTAACTCTTGGAGATCCACTGCTTTTGCTGACAGCCAGTGAAGACAGAGAACCTGTGTTAAATGTTAGTCCTGCTGAAGACATAGAGGAACTATTGAGGTATTCATCTGAATTGCATGATAAATTTAGTGTTGTGTGCTTATGATCTCTCTCCTCAAGCTTGTCTGCCTCAAGCAGCCCAAGATTAGAAGACAACTTCTTGGCTTTAGCCTACTAAGGTCCCACTGTTTTCAAAATTGGGATTGTATAAATAAATGTGAATGGGTATGGATTTTAGCAATAGTTATTTCCTCCATTCTTGTAGTTCTTCAGTTATTCTTATCATCATGTTTTTCTCTTCATGTCTTCCATCCATCCTTCTCCTAGCATTTCCTCAGAGCCAAAAGGAATTGTCTACAATAGTCAAGAGTTAATCAGTTAAATCAGTAAACAGGTGCTGCAACCAGGAAAGTTCAGAGCTGGCAGGAATCTGACTGCCTGAACGGAGTGCCAACTCATCTCCTCTCCGAAGTGGTACCTATTTATCTATTCACATACAACATGCTTTCGAACTGTTAGGTGGATAGAAACTGAGGCAAGTAATGGGAGCTCACTTGACATGCTAGGACTTGAGTGGCTGGAGCAGAGACCATCTCCAATTTTATTAAGCTACTGAGCCTCCACACCTGTATACTGGTATCTGAAGTATATAGAGATTGAACAGTAGTTTGGGACTCTAAATATTTATGAAGTCATATAAATTCTTACATTTTGATAAAGAAAATATTTCATACAGGTATAAACCAAACACTTTTGATCAGTTACTTTTCTAGCAGTTCTTTGCTTTCTTAAAAAAAAAAACCATTAGATTACTTACAGACTGAATTATTCCTAAAACACATCCACTGAAATCAATTGGATAAATTAATCACAACTAATTGATGTCTTACTGATTTCAAGGAATCTGCTGATAATTTGACTTAAGACTGGATCTCACCAATAGTATAATCTACATTACAGTTTCAATTTACTGAGCTATGCTGCACATTTAACTAGAGTTCTTTGAAATTCTGTAGAATCACTTATCACCAACTCTAGGGAGGTACTTGCATTTAAATTTGGGGGGGAGAGAATAGAAGTGAGGCTGTTAGAAACATTTTAGAGTTTTAATAACCAGTTCATAATGGAAAGAAGAAGAAAAACACTCTGTTGCATAAGGTCTTTTGGAAACATGATTCTTCTTCATTGTTTATAATGGAACATTTTGTAATAACATGTCGTATCAGAGACACCTACCTTAGTTTGCTCAGAGGAAAATGCTAATGCTTTTTTATGTTTAAGAGCATATCTGATCTTTTAAGACATGATGTCTCCAAGGCATAACTCTATTTTATTTGAATTATATAGCTGGGAAATATATACACTCATATACATGATTACCATCTCATCCCTCAGGACTGGCTTTCGCTATTTTTACACAATGTGTTCTTCTGATATTTTTACTTGAAATGGCCCTAGCTGGCAGTGTGCGGCCAAGTTTGCCTGTTTGGAATTCATCAGACATACATAGCCACAAATCTTTCTAGGACACTCAAAATTCTATTGAGAATTGGACTCATGGTTTTGTGTAGTGCATTAGTTTTTATGAGCCCTCAAGGTGCTGGTATTTAGCAGTGTTACCGGAAGGGATATATGGAGACTCTGTTTAGAATTGTATATAAAGTCTACTTCTTCCTTTTCTTAAATCCTCAATTGTTTTGGCAAGATTTCAAAAGTGGTTTGCCATTGCTGCTTTCTTCCTAGGGCAGTATTTCTCAACCTTGACAATTTTAAGGCATGTGGACTGCAATGCTGGCTGTGAAATTCTGGGAGTTGAAGTCCACATGCCTTAAAATTGTCAAGGTTGAGAAACACTGTCCTAGGGCTGAGAGAGAGTGATTGGCAGAAAGTTGGTTGCCCTATTGGCTTTGTGCCTAAGAAGTGACTAGAACTCACCTTCTCCCAGTTTCTAGCTTGGTGCCTTAACCACTACACCATCTGGCTCTCTTTCATCAATTAGATATATTTGTAGAGGACAGTGCTATCAGTAGTTAGTAGTTATAATAGCTATAAAATATTTCCAGAAGTGCAAGCGGAAGCATATCTCTGAACATTAGATGCTCAAATTCCACAACTATGGAGGGTCATATTCTTCTGTTCAGTTGTGGATTCCCTGCATGCCTCTAGTTTGATCCTTACAGGAAACTGGGTAATGGACCTTCTGGTTTTCTAAACCTGGGTCTTCTAACATGGTGTCCACAGATACTTTGATTCCCATCATGCTCCTTGACTCTGCAGATTACAGATTCAGCTCAAACATGAAAAGCCATGGTCTCTGGAGAAGTAAAATGGCTGGAAGAGGGTTTTGGCAATCCAAGACATTTAGAGGGCACCTGTTGGAGAACTGGAAATTCATTCTAACTAGCTTACCTCAGAAAATTACTTCTACACAGGAGACCATTAACTGATTAAAGATAAACCCAACAGATCTTCTGGCCTTGTTCAGATATTGCTTGGCACCAGAAGACAATAATTCTAAAATATATTAACTTCATTTTAAACCTTTCCTTGTATCCTTTATTCAAATTTCGGTTTCTACCTCAGTCCTATTTAAGAAATACTGCCTTGTGTGATAGAAATCATGGATTCAAAGTAGGGATTAATTTAATTTTCAGTTTACTATCTTAACAGGAAATCATACTTTAACTGAACCTGGCTTTTTTCCGACTGATGTTTTCTTGACAACTGCAATTATCATAATCATTGGGTTTGTAACTTCAAACATTTTTTGCAGGATTAATGTTCAAGCCAAGGACTTGAGTGGAGCCTTCATCTCCCCAATCTTGCTTCCATAATGATATCTGTGTTAAATTTTGCCTTGCCTGCTATCATATGACATTTAGCAATTACAAAGGAAGCATGGCAAGGATTCAGAAAACTAGCATGGCTAGTTTGAACATAATCTGCAAGAGTCACAACAAATCTCAGTCTCTTTTTAAAGTACAGCCAACAATTTTTCAGGAATCAGAGCTACAGACATCAATTGATTTGATAGGTCAACTTGACCACTATTGGTATAGGCTGGTGAGGAACCTTTTACAATCTTTTCTCACAATTCTGAACAAGTTCCTCAGCATTCTTTAATTTTTGCTGCCTTCTCTCTCATCAGAGAAACACAAACAGATGCCAGGAAATATGGTAGCCTTGAAAGGTTGATTAAATAAATGAACAAACAGCATAGCTCTTGTATTACAAATAGATGCCTGCTTTAGAAAGAATTCCAGTAGAGATTATAATGTCAAGTCACTATAGAAGTAAGAAGAGAATTATACTTTCTGAAATCACTCTTACTGTAAGGCTACCTAAGGCCCACTTATAATATGCTATTTTTCTGCTCTGGGAACACAGGACTTTTTTGTGAATGGTTTAACTACCAAGAAATATCAGGACACCTTTGATATAAAAGCCATCAAACCCAGATAAATATTCAGTGAATGAGAGAACTGTAGCAATTCAGAATGAAGATGAAATTGCAGAATTGATCAAAATCCTCACTCGTGGAGAATAAGTGTATCAGTAAAATTACAGTCTTCTTCTGACAAGACAGGACCTGCTAGAAAAGTGAGCCTAGTCTTATTAAGTCAGAAGGATATTCTGTTTTTGTTGAAAAACGCCTTCTCTTTAAAGTGGAAAGATTGGTGGGGAGAGAACAGTAAGCCTACTGCCTATAGCAGAGGTCCCCAACCTTTTGGGCACCAGGGACCAGTTCCGTGGAGAAAGGTTTTTCCACGGACGGAGAGACTGTGGTTTTGTGTGCTGCCTGCATCCCACGGATGGGGCTTTGCTTGTTTGTGCAGACCGGTTGCTGGCATGCTGCGGCCCAGTACTGGTCCACGGACTGGGGGTTGGGGACCCCTGGCCTATAGCACCTTCACCTGGTCTCATTGATCGAGCATTCTTGGCTTATGATTGGTCACTTAGCAAATGCTCAAAAGTTGTGACAGACCTCCCCAGTGCTACTTACAACCTTGATTCAAAGTTCTAATGACTCTATCCCCTGTCTTCTATGGTCACGTGATTACATTTTGGATATTTAGCAACCGACCATACATGACCACGATTTGCAATGTTTTTTTGGGGGGGGGAATTGTTGTTTACTTCCAGTTTCTGGTAAAAATGCCCACTGCAGGCAATGGATTCACTTAATGTCTATTGTGTTTCCTTAATGACTGCAATAATTCACTTAATGACCACTACAAAAAAGATAAAATTGGGTGTGGTCACATGGTGATGCAACTGGCACAATTTATGATTATAATTCTGGGCTCAACTACTGTCATAAGTCAAGGACTATCTGCAGTATCCATAGTAAGTGTAATGGAATTCTCTAAACCTGAGAATGAGAATGGATGTTTGCAAAATAGTGCAGAACCAGAACAACAGTAGATTCCTTCCTCTTTATCAAGCAAATAAGTAATAATATCTTGCTTCTATCAAAAGGCAGTTAGGAATATGATGAATTAAGGCATCACCTTAAAAGTACTTATTAATACAGTAAATGGGGGCTGATATATGTAATGTCACTCTTTTTTTCTTTGTAATCTCAGTGGGATAAAATGATAATCTACCTTTCTTAGTTTATGAGCACTTTTGGGGGGCTCAACACTAACATTTTCAACACAGAGAAGTTTCTGTGCTTTGAGACATTTTACATGATTGTTGAGATAATTTCTTGGGGCTTTCATATCAGAAATGCAATTATTTACCAAATGTGTTTTTGTCTCTAAAACAAATACTTTAGATACGGTGGCTTTAGTATGGATGAATATATATATATATTTGTTCTACAGAATAGATGTAGTTCCCCATTATAGGATCTCTTTTGGCTGAATAGCACTACATCTGTGGTGTGTTATAGTCTTTGGACCTTACATAGCAATTATCTTGTTTCCATTTTTTGGCATATTTAGAAGCTATGGATATTTTTCCATTAAAAGTAGGCTGAAGTTAAATCATGATAGTATTACGATAAGATATTCAAACAATGTGTTTCTTTTTTTAAAGTGGATTTAATGTGTTGAGATTTAAAAATAGAACATAGATTTCTTTGTTTAGAAACTTTTAAATAAAAATAGTCCATAGATGTCTGAGCTGCTTATAAATGTCTTTTAAATACAGCTACACATTTTTTCCAGCAGATGACATTGCTTAATATTTTCAGATAGTTGCTATGCTTCATTTGTTTTTTTTTGA